CACCCCCCACGCTTGACTGACCGTCTGTGTGCGTGCGTCAGTCTCAGTCTGTCTGTATGCGTGTGTGTGTAAAGTAGGCAATCGCAGCTTGTGGTGCAATCGTTACCGAATAAATGAGATGCTCAACAAAAGCAGACGCCAAAGCCAAAGCCAAAGCAGCCACAGCAACAACAACAGCCGTCATAGAAACAACAACAACAACAACGGACAATATTATGGCAGAAAAACGTCATCGCAGTCGCGAATTATTACGACGCCGCAAAATGGGGCGGTGGGTTACAAAATGTGTGCAAAGAGCAAAGTGAACAAACGAACGAAAAAGAGAAGGAGCGCGGCGAACGCCGCTCTAGCACGCTCGCTCGCTCGCTCGCTCGCCCTCTCTCTCTCTCTCTCTGTCTACTTCTGTGTGTGTGTGCATGTATGCCTGTGTGTGAGTGAATGCGTTTTGTTTTGTATTACGGTACAAGGGGGAGTATTTAACGTAAGATGCGGTAAGCAATGGAAATATTCGTTAAAATAGCAACAAAAATATATATATAAAAATAGCGATTGGATAACAGATTCAAATCGATAACAAAGTGTGCTGCTAAAAAGGCAAGGTATGTATGTATGTATGTAAATACATATGTATGTTACACAGCAATGTTAATAATGTAAAGTGCATAATATACATGTACATATACGCTCGTGAATGCATTTTGTCATTTTCTTTTATAAATTTCTCCGATATGCATTACACGCCTGCTTTTTTCTCTCTCTTTTAATTAAATTATCGATTACTGCTGCTGCTGCTGCATGGCAACTTCAAAGTAATAAGCACATAGGCATGCATTTCATACAAGCGTACATACACATATGTAACAACATGCATATACATAAACAGACTTGCACACACACACACATACATACATACATAAATATATATGCAAGCGTCTCGCTGGAGAAAACATGTCAAACAAAGCAAAAACGGAAACGCAGCACACGAAACGGCAGCAAAAGCAGCGCCAACAATGACGCCGACGCCGACGTCGCGACAGCGACAGCGACCAACTCTATGCCAAGAAGAAGCGAATCAAAAGCCAAAAGGAAAAACCGCGATTGCGTTGAATTAAGTGTTTGACTGCGCGCAAAAAAAAAAAAAAAACAACTAAATAAGAGCTTCAATTGTATGTGTATGTATGTGTATGTATGTGTGTGTGTGTGTGTGTGTGTGTGTGTGTGTGTGTGTGTGTGTGTGTGTGTGTGTGTGTGTGTGTGTGTGTGTGTGTGTGTGTGTGTGTGTGTGTGTAGTAACGGCATTTTATTTGTTTTCTCTCCTTGCAGGCGCGCTGAAGCAAGTGAAACAAAGAGGAAGCGCAATAGGAACAGCGACGTCAACGTCGACGTCGGCAGCAAAAAGAAAGCCAAAGCGCCGCAATGTCCATCGCGCTAGATGATGATAGATGACAGTTGGGGTGCGGGTGCGCGATATCAAACGAGGGCGGGTTGCGGGGCGGCAAGTCGAAGTGAAGTCGGTACGCCGTAAAATCTTGACACGCGTCCGTAGGCAAAAGGCAATATTAAATACGACGTAACAGTGTTAACAGTAAGGCAAATGGCAAAGCCAGTGAGAAAATACAATTAGACTCTGCAAAAACAAAGAAAATACACGAAAAAAACAAAAAACAACACAAGCAACAACAAATTCTGTACTGTGACGGAGCACGGCAACACTGGGCCAAACTATTTAACGGTAAACACCAGCACAGCGACAGCAACGGCAGCAGAAGCAGCAGCAATGAGAAAGAAGAGAGAAAAAAAAACAACAACAACACAAAAGCCCAGCTGCATTAAATACACTTGCAGAGCGAATCAAGCAAAGCTGCTTAAATGGTAAGGCATACAATTTATTTTTAAATAACAGTAATGAGCATAATTAATTTTTATAAATGTGTGTGTGTGTGTGTAATCATAGTTCACTCGACCCTAAGAGAATGATTTGTCGATAACGAGAAACTCTTATCGATATGCATTTTAGAAGCATATTCAATGGCAGGCACGGCTACACATACAAACATACATATGTACATACATGGAAGCACAACAGTCATGCCGTCTGTTCCCGCAGGGCACACAGTTTTCTTGTTGCTGCTGTTGTTGTTGTAGCATTGATGCTTGGTGCGAGAGCGTAGCGCGCCAAAGAGCATAAAAATGCAGCGACAGCAGCAGAAGCAACAACAATAAAAACATACACACACACACATACATACATACATGCATAGCTCGTAATGATCAGAAATGCAGCAAAAACGCAATTTCCAATTGCACTCGAAAATAATTGACAAGTATTTCAAGATCAGCAGAAAATGCCATCATTTTTTTTAACTTCTTCTTCTTTTTTTTTTAAGCTTCGGTTTTCATCTGCAGCAGAATTTCTCTAGTAATTGTATTTTGTGTGTGTGTGTGTTGTTAAAAGGTTTAATAACTCTTTGACTCTGTATGGCTATAAATAATAACACGCACGCATACATACATACATACGACATGCTAATGTCGCTGTGTTCGTGTACGTGTACGTGTGTGTGTGTGTTTGCAAAGTCTGAAGGTTTTGGTTGCGTTTTCTGCTGCCTGCTGTTGTTGTTGTAGTAGTAGTAGTAGTAGTAGTAGTTGGCCTGTGCTGGCTGTGGCTTGTGGTATTGCATGTGTGTGTGTGTGTGTGTGTGTATTTATGTGTAGCTTGTGGTGTGTGTATATGTAGCGTCTAGAGGTGCACCAACAACAACAACAACGTTTCTTGCTATCATCGCTGCTGTCGTTGTCGTTGTTGTTGCTGCTGTTGCTGCTGCTGTTATGGTTGCTTTTTGTTGCAAGTGGAACGTGATTATTTCAACGAGCGCAACGTTTTTTAGCACACACATACACACAGCTATGCACAATGTGTGTGTGTGTGTGTGTGTGTGTGTGTGTGTGTGTGTGTGTGTATGTGTGTGTTTCTACAGCTTGCTTTGATTTCTTTTGGTTTTTTGTTACTGCTGCTGCTGCTGCTGCTGCTGCTGCTGTTGGCAGTAAATCGCGCTATCTGCGAAGGTTGTTCCCCACTGTATTTGGGTGTGCGCGTGTTGTTGTTGTCGTTGTTGTTGCCTTTTAAGTTTTTCGTTTTACGTTTCGTTTCTGTGCGCTGCTGTCTTCTAATTTGCTTGCACTGAGAGATTGACAGCAATAACTTGATTATTGACTATCGTGCGTAAGCGATAATTGCGATAAATTTATGTGCCCAATTTCTGTCTCTCTTTCTTGTTGTTATCGCATCTCAGCTGCGCGCGTGTGTGTGTGTGTGTGTATTACATGCATGTATAAAGTTTTTGTGTGTATGTGTGTGTGTTGGACAAAAGCCAGTTACATATATTTGAAAATTGTGAAATAGGTTAAAATGATGCGTCTATGTTGCAGCTGGTTAGGTTATAGAGGGTATCTTTCAGTCGTTCACATTCGACTAGCTGCTTTTGTTAGTGTAGTGCAGCTGCTTAGAGGGTATCTTTAAGTCGTTCACATTCGACTAGCTGCTTATGTTAGTCTCGTGCAGCTGCTTAGAGGGTATCTTTTAGTCGTTCACAATCGACTCGAGCACTCCGGCTGCGCTGCTGGCTCTCATCTTTAGCTGCTGCCGCTGCCGCTGCTACATACACACGCCCTGCCCTTCTTGACGGCGACAGACGAACGAACGAACGAACGAACGAACGGACAGACAGACAGATCGACCGACCGACAGACAGACAGACAATTTTAGTTGGCTCGCCTGCTGCTGGCTGCGTGTTGTTTTTTTTTTGTTTTTGTTTCACTCTCTTTCCTTTTCTAGTTGCTGCCTTCGCTGCGCCGCCGTCTTTCGCTTCGTTTCGTTTCGTTTTGTATGTTGTGTCGTTTCTGTTTCTGTTTGAACTGTTTGCCATTGTTGTTGTTATTGTTTAATGTCTCTTGAGTATCTGGCCTGAATGCAACAAAAAAAAAAACTTAAAGAAATACTGTGCACGTTCGCTATAATGAACTAATTGTAGTCAAGCTGGTAACCACCCCCCACCCCCCTCACCCTACCCACCACCAATCTACAGCCTGCTTTCACACAAGAGCGAAAGGAAATAAACATACGTATAGACAAATTTTGCGCGTTCATTTTAACGACTGACCACTGTACATGTGCAGCGCTGGGCTTATTGTCCGCAGGAAGCGGCGACTAGCTACGATTGCCGTTGACCGCAGCCCAGCTCAAACGGAAATATCCTTAAGCGCGCGCGTCAAGTTACACGCAGTACAAACAAAACTGAACGAAATACTTGTGCGAGCGTTGCCACGTAGTCATACAAAAAAAAAAATGTTAATAGGCACTGTTAAACTTAACAGCATTTACATTGATCTGCTCTGTTGGCCTTATATTTTTCTCATACATATTTTCTCTTCTAAGCTTAAAATAGCTGCATGCGCATTTACATCGTTTATATTTAGGCATATTTCGGCTATTTTAAGCAACAGCATCAATTCACCCCTCTCTCCCCCCCCTCGCTCACTCTCTCTTGCTACACACGCACTTTGGCCTTTCGCAAACTGCGAAGGTTGCACACGCTCACGCACAAACTTGAAAGGGCAATCGTATGAGCAAACGCGTGGGCTACGCTCCCCGCTAAGATGCCAATTTAGCCTTTTTTCAATTGCGCCTAAAGAAAAAAGTTCAAGATATTTATAGACTTGAGGTAAATGTTAAGTTCACATCTCAGGTGTGTGGGGGTAAAAAAAAGTTACGTTTTATTGTCCTGTATAAAAATAGAGTATTGCGCAGTCGGCGCTCTCTTTTGGTGAGCTATATTTTCCTCGGCTAGTTTTAGCTTTTTTTTTTAGTTTGTTTGCCAAAAACTGGCAATACTGGCACGTTCTTTTAGCTTATAATCATAGCACACATACACATATATAAGCATATATGCATATATGTGTGTGTGTTTTTTTTTTCTTCTGCTTCTCATTCTTTTACTTACTTTGGCAAATTCTGGAGGTAACGCATTTGCTTCTCGCGTCGCAGCTCATCGGTGAGTCGGCAATAGGTGTTATTGATGCAAACGCTGCGCCGCAAGTTCGCCTCAGAGTCCTTGATGCGCTCCAGCTTGTGGGCGCACAGCTGCAGGATGCGTTTGCGCTCCTCGCGCTGACGCAGCTTGGGCGAGATCATTGGCACGCGCGACCGATGATGATGATAGCCAATCGGCGGTGAGCAGCGCGGCGGTCCAAACATGTCCGAGTCATCATCGCTGCCGTTCGCTGCATTTGTATTGGTTGGCAAGGTCATTGTGCGATGTGTCTGTGTCTGTGTGTGCGTGTGCGTGCGCGACTGCGATTGCAAGTGTGTGCGTCTGAAACGCATTCAAAGCTCTGCTGTGGACTCTTCCAAGTCTCGCTCTCTCTCTTTTCTTTTAACTTCTGCTGCTGCTGCTGCTGCTGCTGCTTCTTCTTCTTCTTCTTGCTTAGTTGTTGCTGCTGCTGCTTCTTCCCACTGCACACAAGGTAAACCACAAATCGTTCATATGCCGCGTCACAGTGTCTGTTTATTTTTGTTTTTATTTTATTTTTATTTGTATTTGTTTTTTTTTTTTTTTAATATTGTTTTTCACTTTTTAAAATTTTTTTTTAATGTTTTTAGTTTAATGTTCTCTCTCTCTCAGTAAAATGTCTTAGTGTGTGTTTTTTATGAGCACACTTTGTTTTAGAAAATTTTTGGATTCGGCAGGAAGCAACTTTTTTTTTGCAATTACAACACGCGCGTGTATGCGTGCGTGCGTGTGTGTGTGCGTGTCTGGTCTTGACTCGACACGCTGCGTGCTGCGCTGCCGCTGCGTGAGATTTCACTTTGCTTTTGCTGTTTGATTGTAATGTGTATGTGTGTGTGTGTGTGTGGCCCGTTATGTTTCGTTAATTTTGCATTAATACGCACACTTTTTGTCTTTTACCGTATTTGTATTTACCTCCAAATTCAAAATAATCCAGGACTTTTGAATTTCTGCGAGGAAAAAGAACCCAACAAAAATGCAAAAAAAAAAAAAAAAAAAAAAAAAAAAAACACACAAATATATATATATATCTATATATATTTATAACTGTTCAGTTAGGCACACAATTGACAATTGCAATTCAAGTTGGCAGCCTTTCTTTTTGACTTAATTATGTTTAGTATTTTTGTTTGTTTGTAATTTTTTGGTTTTTATTGTTCATTTATTTAACGCGCGGCGTCTTCAGGCGGTGGGCAGTGCAAGTGCAGTTTTTGGAGGGCTTAAAGGGGGCGCGGGCCAAAAATGAAGGGGTACGACAATAGCCGACGTACACAAAGTCAAGGGGGAAGAGGCACAATAGTCTTTTTACTAATTGCTTGATTTGTTGTTTTAATTAAGTTTTTTGTTTTTTTTTGGGCAATTGTAGGCGCCTGTTGAGGTTGCGTGATTGTGAGAGAGAGTGAGAGAGACAGCGCGGAACGTGTAAGTTGGGGAGCGCGTGGTATTTTGTTGTTGCGTTACTTGTGTTGTTACTAGGCCGAACTTTGCCGCTGCCGCTTGCACGTCCGCACAGTTCTCGCGTTCGATGTGAACTGAAAATTGAATGAATGAAGCGCACGGGCTTTAGCTGGCTGGCATCAGGCAGCAGAGGCATAGGCAGCGGCCGTAGCAGCGGCAGCAGCAGCAGCAGCAGCAGCGACGGCGGACGTTTTGTTTGCCTGGCAGCAACGTCGTCGTCGTCGTCGTCGTCGGCAGCGCGCACAGATGTTCAACCAACTTCGGCTCGGCCGCTGCCGGCATCGCTGCCGAACGTACAAACGGAAGTAGCAGCCAGCAGAGACGTCGTCGGCTAACCTAAGCTGAGCAGAGCAGAAGCACCAGAAGCCAAAGAGCGCAAAGAGAGCCTTGCTATACAGCATAAAGAGCGCATTGCATGGCGTACGTGCGTGCTGTGCTCTTTATGTTGAGTCTGTATATGTGCGAATGTTTGTGTGTGATATGCAAGATTTTGGCACTGTATGCAAGTGTGCGTGCATGCGTGTGTTGCGTGTGTGTGTGTGTGTGTGTGTGTGTGTGTGTTGTATGTAATGTGTGGGGCATTTTCTTAGCGTGTTTTGTTGCTTGTCTGCTGCTGCTGCTGCCATTTGTAACGGAAGCGAAACGCAAACACACGCGCCGCCAGCCCCAACAGAGCAAAGGGCGGGCGGGCAGCAACGGCGGACAGTTGGCAAAAAAAAAAAAATAATAAAAAATTGAGAGCCTCTTGTTGTCTTGCTGCCGCCTGTCGCTGCTTCGCCTCGCGGCTTGGCACGCGCTGCGAACAGCGAGCACAACTTTTATAGTTTTTATTTTGACACACACATAAATGCACTTGTATTGGTATTGTTGTATTTATTATGTAAAAAGTAACTGGCCTTAAGCGACAGCGCCACAGACCGTTAGTGGCAGCATTTATTAAGTTGCCAGCTTGCCCCATAACAAATGGCGGCCATTGGCGCGGCGGCTCTATCAATATTTTTGGCAAATGCAAATGCTGACAAACAATTCCCACTATGCACTTTGCATGCATGCATATGTATATACATATGTGTGTGTGTGTGTGTGAATGTAAAAGCTTGAGGTCACTTTTGGCACTCTCTTAATTTATGCCTGTGTGCGTGTATGCATTTATTGTTTAGGCAAACCATGCAAGCAGCGTAAACTCTTGCAAGCACACACACACATACATATGTATGTATGCTTAAAGAGAGCGTCGTGTTGATCATCATATGATTGTAAGAGTGTGTTGGTGTTTTGCTTGTTATTAATTGTGGCTGCGCTGACTTCCAATTCCTTGGAACATTTACGAAAAAAAAAAAAAGAAAAAGCAGAATAAAAAATGGAATCTAGCGATAAGCAATGCAAAATACAATACAATTTTCTTGCTAAACGTCATGACTCAATTCTGTTTATACACATTTAACTGTGAACTGAGAACTGAGAAGAAGCAGCAGCAGCAGCAGAAGTATAACTGTTCCGTATGTTTCCGTATCCTTAAGAGCATAAATAAATGCAACAAATTTATATACATATATGTACATATATTTATTTAACCTAGAAGGCTTACCTTTGGCGCACATTAAAATAAAATACATACATACAAGAAAAAAAAAAACGGAACTAACCTCATTTCGTTTTTATTGTGACGAGGAACTGTGGCTACAGCAAAAAGAAAAAAAGATGTACATATGGCAATTGTTTTTTGTTTTCATCGACCTTGCAGGCGTGTGTACTTATTATCTATATAGCTCAGACTTTTACTTGTTATGCACACACACACACATTAATATAACTGTTTATTTGCGAAAGTAATCATCACTGGAACGCTACAAATGCCGCTGAACTTATTCGTTATTGGTTCAATGTCACACACACACACACACACACACACACACACACACACACACACACACACACACACACACACACACACACACACACACACACACACACACACACACACACACACACACACACACACACACACACACACACATGCGCAATCGAACGTATGTAACTGTGTGCGTGCGTATCCTTTTTGCATTGCATTGACCTTTCGTGGCCTTCGCAATCGCCCCTGGCCCCATTGGCCAGACGCACTCTACCCGTCTCCCTCTCACCATCTTCTTTAAAGTCGCATTTAACGTTTTTGTTTCGTAGGCAGGTATGCAGGTCGCTGCAAGATAAATTCAAATTACGTAATGAAGATGGCATAACAATTGAGTATTTATTGCGTTCAATTCGCTGCACGATAAGCCCAAAATAGAAACAACAAAAATATAAATACATATATGTATATATTTAACGCACCCATACATATGTATGTATGCCACACACAGACACGGCTGACGCACGGCGAGTTGCCAGTAGCAGTGGCAGCGATTACCTGCTGTGACTGAGCCAAATCAGCGCGCTTTATTTCAAGATGGAGTTTCGTTTTTTTTATTTATTTTTTTTTTTTTAATTTTTATTGCTTTACTTTTTTTGTTATTGCTGTGTACGTTCTTTGACGCTCGATTAGCTGGGGCGGGCTTCGGCTTTAACAGGTACCGTGAATTTAAGCTACAGCAAGCGCGCGCACACACACACACACACAAACAACAAAAGGTGCCGAAACGAAATCGAAAACTGCCCACTGCCAGCGCAAAAACAAACACAACAACAGCGACGCCAACGTCAACGCATATGCAGCAGCCGACGCTGTCGCGACGTCTGCATTTCACACACAATTCGCCAGAGTCGCGCTAAAGCCAAACAAAAGCACAAATCCCAAAGGCAGAAGTGCCGCCCCCGTAGACTAGTAGGAGCTGATTCCCACACATACATACAAACATACTACACACATGCACACAGATGTATCGCAGCCGCAGCAACAATTTAATTATCAATAACATATTTAAAATTGGTTTGCCTCTTACGCCCCGCCAGCGCCGCTAGCTCATTGCGGGTTTTTTGTTTTTTTTTTTTTTTTTTGCGAGCACGCTCTCTTTTGCTGCTTGCTGTACGCTCTTTGCATTTGCCAAGCAAGCCACTGCTTTCGAGACACAGTGGGAAAACTGTGCTAAAATCTAACAGCTGCCTTAATAGCCCTTATTTAAGGTAATATTTATTTTACATGTGTGTTAATATTCTTTTCAAAATACATTTTGTTACACGAATTCGTGTTTACCAAATGTAAGAACTTAAATTATAGCCGACAGCAACCCCGTGAGCTCTGCCCATGCTACCTAAATGATCTGTCTGTCGTATCATTAACATTCCATACAAACCGTCCCACTGTGCGTCGTGTGAATGAACGTATAAAAAGTGAGAGCGCGTTGCCGTCGACGTCGCCGTCGCCGTCGCCGTCGCGCTCATAAACGAAAATCAATGACTCCCAATGCGCGCCGACGACTGTTGAGCGTCGTCTGCCCCGCAACGTCGCAGCGCTCTCCTTTGCTCCATACACTTCACATTGGCTAGCTCTATTGTTTGTTGTTGCGGTGGCTTCTTCCTTCGTTCTTCTTGTTGTTGGCGGCCAAAGCAGCGCAGTGATAAATGCGTCAGCGTCAGCAGTTTTGGCTGCGAAGCATGTGATTGTTTGTGTGTGTGTGTGTGTGTGTGTGTGTGTGCGTGTTTGTGTGTGTTGTGTGTCCTGTTCTTATTGGCTTTGTGCATTAAAAATGACTCGTGTTTGGAGCATTGTTGAATTGACTCTAAGTATTTAAAGTTGATGCTGATGCTATTGCGCGCGCACACATACATACATACACACAAGCAGAGGACTGGCCAGTTTTCGTAATTGTTGCTGCCGCTGCTGCTGTTGCCATTTTACAACGTCTGCGGGCGCTGCTGCCGTTGGCGTAGACGCTGCCAGCGTCGCCGACGTCGTTGTCGCTGTCGTCATCGTTGTTGGTGCTTTTAACTGTGTGCCCTTCACAAAAAGTGGTTGTTGTTGTTGTTGTTTGTATGTTTGCCTACATTTGCCAACATATATATGTACATACATAATAGTATGCAAGATTGTGTTTGTGTGTATTATACATAAATTTGGTCATGTTTGCAATACACAGAATCTATTGCAA